CCCTCATAGCCGACGACCCCCCTCTACCCAATGAAAGCTCCGGTTCTGCCCTCATACACCCTGTAAATCCCAAAGTTTGGGACATTACAAGCCCCTCCGTGGCCCTATGTCCCCCTGCCTCTATCAAATTACGTGACCCCTCTCAGTATATCTGTCAGGCCCAATACCCCCTAACCACTTCAGCCCTCATAGGCCTCCAACCCATCATTCAAGCAGACCCACTCACTCCCCATTTAATACCCCCATATTAGCTGTTAAAAAAACCAACGGATCTTTCCGCCTTGTCCAAGACCTTCGCCTCATCAACATAGCCATTGTCCCTATCCATCCCTTAGTTCCAAATCCATACAGCCTCAGCATCCCACTTCTCAGTCCTAGATCTCAAGGACCCATTTTTCTATCCCTCTAGACCCCTGCTCCCAAGATTTTTTCATCTTCACCTGGACGGACCCATACACAAGACATTCTAAACAACTCACTTGGACAGTTTTGCCACAAAGCTTCCGAGATAGTCCCCATATTTTTAGACAGGTCCTAGCTCAGGACCTCAAACAGTTTCATCATGATCACTCCAAGTCCACCTTATAATACATAGACAATCTTCTACTCTGCAGTCTCTCGTGGGAACAGTCTCAACTTGACACTGCCTCCCTACTTAACCTTCTAGCTTCCAGAAGTTACCGAGTATCCCCCGTCAAAGCTCAAATCTCTTCCCCTCCTGTCACTTACCTCAGATTCCTTCTATCTCAACAAAGAAAGTCCATTACCTTAGACAGAAAATGGCTCCTCTCTGACCTGCCAATTCAGAAAACCAAGACAGAAATCCTTTCCTTTCTAAGCCTAGCTAGATATTTTAAAACGTAGATCCCTAAATTCTCCCTGCTCCCTGTTGGCAAGACCCCTATACGACCTCAGCAAGAGCCCCCCTAAAAAACCATTATCCTCCTCACCCCGACACTCCTTCATTAAGCTCCGTCAAGCCCTTGTAGAAGCCCCAGCTCTCCATCTTCCTGATTTGTCGAAGCCCTTCTCATTATACATTCATGAGAGGTCCAGTCAAGCTCTAGGAGTCCTAAGCCAATATTATGGCCCATCCTTTGCCCCAGTAGCTTATCTCTCCAAGCAATTAGACCCCACAGTTCGGGGATGGGCCCCCTGCCTACGAGCATTAGCCGCTAGACAGCTCTTGCAGAAAGAAGCTCATAAACTGACATTCAGGGCGCCCCTTACCATTCTGTCCCCACATCACCTAAAAGATCTCTTAACCTACAAAAGTTTACAGACTCTCCCTCCCTCCAGACTCCTGACCTTACTGTCCTCTTTCCTCCAAAATCCCGTTCACCCCCTTTGCCATCCATACCCGAATCATGACTTTTTCCTCCTTTACTGCTCTCTCGCTTTTTTTCCTCATTCCTATTGTCTTCCCCGCCACCCCAGCCTCCTTTGTATGGCGATTCAAAGTCAGACAGACTTACACACAGCATCAAACAAAAGTTACTGCCCTCATTGCCACACCAGACTGCCCTCTGAAAAGCTGCTCTGAGCCTTTATACCTCCACTTTCCTCCCTCCACCGAAGTGTTCACTAGCAGCTACCCTTATTCTCCCTACCTCTGCTTCCTCTATGACCAAAAACAAGCCTATTGCAGGCGATGGCCAGACACCTACGGGGGATGTCCCTACTGGTCTTGCACCATTCACTACATGGGTAACTTCCAGTACCCACAGTATTACTCCTCCAACCGTTTCATGAAATATCCCAACGGCTCATTCTCCTTATCAATCCCAGATCCCTGGGACTCTCGATGGGCTGCCAGAGTCACAGCCTCAGTTTACTACGGGGGGTCCTCGACCCTCCACAGTACCCTTCATATCTCTCGAAAGTATGTTCCCTCTCATTCCCAGATCTCTCAAGTTGCATCAGATAGCAGACATTCCGAAAAAGTCATTATCCAAACTCTTGATGGCGCCTCTTCATCTTCTTATCCCCACCCCTCTTCCCATTTCTCCTACTCTTCATTACAGCTCATTCAGGACACCACCATCTTTCTCAACCACACCCTTAACACAGCCAATTGTTTCTTGTGCGCATCACTACAGCGCCCACTGCTGGCCGCCGTGCCCCTTAATATTTCCAACTACTCCTTCCATGCAGAAAGACAACCCCTCTGCCCCCTGGCAGACATACCCCTATGGGAACCAGAATACGCAGATAATCTCACCATCCACCACTGTGTAAGCCCAACTCCACCCCCCTCCAGCGCACTTCACTGCCTCTCTATCTACACCCCTACCTCCGGCTCTAAGACTTTCACACAACCGGGACACTTCTTTTAGTGTAATGGCAGTCTTTTCAACTCACTGCCTCTCAACTCCGATACACCCTGCATTCTCGTCACCCTAATCCCACAGCTAACACTTTACAGCATGGCAGAATTCCTTGAGCTCCAACCTCCCTTGCCCTCGCGCACAAAAAGAGCTGCTTTCCTTCCCATCATGGTCAGTAGCTCTTTGATCACCTCAGCCATTGGGGCAGGGTTTTCGGGAGAAGCCTTGGGTCACTCTCTATGGGCAGTTAGAGATCTCAACGCCAAACTTGAGGGAGCCCTGACATCCACTGCCGATTCCCTAGCCTCTCTCCAAAGACAGGTCACTTCGCTAGCTAAAGTCACCCTTCAAAACCGGCGGGCCCTAGATCTGCTTACAGCCGAGAAGGGCGGCACCTGCGTCTTCCTCCAGGAAGAGTGCTGCTATTACATCAACGAATCCGGCATTGTAGAAACTGACATTACCAAACTCACTGACCTTGCCTCCAGCCTCCACTCTGCTTCCAATTCCAACCCATTCTCTTCAATACTAACAAACCCCCTCCTCACCTGGCTCTGGCCCATTGCAGGCCCCATAATAATCATTCTTCTCGCCTGTCTCTTCTTACCCTGTATAATAAAGTTCATCAAATCCCAAGTCAGAAAAATCTCTAATCAAGCTTTCAACCAGCTTTTACTCAGGAACTACCAGCTTCTGGCCACAGAAGATCCCTCACCCTCACGTGACCTCCTCACCACACGCTGAGATGGACCCCTCTCTCCACTGGAAACTGTTCCTGGAAACAATGGCCGCAGACGCCTGGCTCCTGACACCCATATCCTCTTGGCACCATTGGAATCAACAAGTCCTCAACCTATAGTTACAGGGAACCTTCATTAATTTCCAAATGTGAAGAAGTCCACATCTACTCGTCCTTACTGCGGGGAGTCCTATCAACCCTTTCCTCCCAATCCTCAAGCCCTCACTCCCTTCTCCGCCCCTGTTCAGCAGGAAGCAGCCAGAGAGAAAGCAACGTCCACAAACCCATATAGGAGAAAGGGGGGAATGAAGGGTCCCCACCAGTAAGATGGCAAACTTCCGGCTTCTCTTCGGGGTCCTCGGTTCCCGCCGGCGCCACCTGAAGCCCAATCACCTCTCACCCCCCTCCCAATCCCAGCACCTAGCCAACAGCCACCAGCCCCGTAGAAGTGACACCTCAATCAATTCATGCCCCTTCCTATATAACCCAGCACCTTTCCCTAATAAAGCAGAACTCTCCGGTGAATTGCTGCTATGTGTCGCTCCTTTCCTTTCACAATCAAACGTACCAATCCACTCCAATTGTGACAGCCCTTCCTTGTACTCTATCCCCCAGAGCCAGGAGCAAGGGACTGTTTCCTATAGCGAGAGGGGCAAGACACAGGAAACTGTCCTTCAGGCAGGGAAGGCATAAAGTGACAGGAAGCACAGTAAGACAAGAATGACACGTGCCCCTGTGAGGCCACTCAGGCCTCCATACTGAAAGTATTAGGAAGGGCAGACTGGTGAAGGTAATTGAGCTCCCAGTGCACAGCTTCTCGTTCCCCATTTCTCCACTGATTCTGAGCTATTCCTGTATCTCATGGGTCAAGGTTTGGGCACCAGCCCTACTGCTTCTCCTCAGTTCCAGATAATCAGTTTTTATATTTGTCCTGAGCAGGGACAATGTTTTAGCTTTTTTAAAGAAAAGCCACATACCGTACAGACTGCCTGAACTGAAAAACAAATGGTCTAGTGGGAGGGGCCAGAGGCACAGTGGCAGGTAAAGCAGGCAGAAGGAAAGCTACTAAAGGGGTAAATCTGAGCAGTCATCCCAGGCTCTCACCCTGGCACTTTTATTCCTCTCCAAAGACCCTGCTGCTGCTGGCTTAACTCAGCGATTCATGAATCGTGCAGCTTCCCATCTGGCAAGCAGAAAGGAGCTCTGAGGAGTTGTACAAAATGGAAGGTTTTAGAGGCAGAAGCAAGTAGGAGAAGGAGGCTAAAACAGTGGATTCTTTCTAGCAAGGTTACCTTCCCTTAGGGGAAGGTAGGAGGCTCTTATCAGGCAGATTACCTCTAGCCCTGACTAGGAAATTCCAGATTGATTGGTTTAAAATTCCATTCCTTGGGAGAGACTGAAACTGCAATTAATCTAGGCAAACACCACTTCTTAATCTGTCAGCACAAGGCAGCTGGCAAGGGATAGAGGCTCAAAGAAGAGCAATAGTGTCCAGAGGCCCACAGGGCTCAGCATGAAAATTTGGATCCAGATTGAACTAGGCTCCAGTTAGCCTGACTGTAAGTATCTGCTAGAAGAGTGTGGGTGGGTGGCTTATAATAAGTACTGGTGGTGGGATGGATGTGATTAGTGTAGGAAAAATCCTAGGTCCCCATGGTGAATGTTACTTAACTTCTCCTCTCTAATTGCTGGAAACACTGGCTCAGTTTTATGACACTTGTGGGTAAGGAGGTGTAAGGTTGTTGGGATTTCAGAAATGTTCCCTTGTCTGGAGGCCATTGTTGCCTGCAATGACAAAATGACTAGAGGCCCTGATTCCAGAAGAAAATACTGTACCAACACTCACCCTTCCCACTCCCCACTCCACCACTTTCTGTACCAGGCAGCATGAAGTACCTGGAGAAATGAAGTGTAGCATGGCTGGTGGGCAAGGGCAAAATGGCTATTTTATTATCCACAGTAGCATAAACAGTAATAGAGTAAAATCTGGAATGACAGTCTTTATATCAATTATTAGTTTCTAAGCGCTCAACCTAAACATTCTTTCCACTGCCCCAGATGGAAATGGGATCTCAGGGTGGGAAGAGCTGGAGTCCAGTTCATAGGGATAATGCCTAGGGTCTGTCCCTTAGTCTCAGTGAAGAAAGGCCTGAGGGCCAAAGGCATTTGGGAGGTATCTCCTGAGGGGAGGGAAGTCCTCTTAGATAGATCTATCAGAAAAGTCAGGAATCTGTCAGGCCCACAAGGCAATGAAGGCCATGAAGGCAAAACCACTGGCTACACAGCCCCACTTGGCCAGAGGGGCCTCAGGAGCAGCTAGTTCTCGGGGCAAAATTTCTAGGAAGGTGACGTACAGGAAGGTGCCAGCTGCTGCACCTTCTAGTACAGCCTGGGTTAAACCTTGTCCCCCTTCTGAGCTTCCTCCAGCTACCGCCAGCCCTAGGGCTAGGCCCACAGGGGACATAAGAGCTAATAACAGTATGGAGAACATGGCCCATTGTGATCTAGTGCCTACCTGCATCAGCCTTAGTCCTACACTGAACACAACAACGCCCTTGTGAGCCAGGACAGCAAGACAGAGCTGCACGGTAGCTGTCACTGTTGTTTGCAGCCCCACAGCTAGACCTTCAAACACTGAGTGAAAGGAGAGTGAAAGCAAGAGGATGAGAGCACGAAGGGGACCCCGTGACGGTGAGGGTAGAGGTCCATGGCTGTGGAGTCCCAAGCCTTGAGACCCACCCAGTTCTTCCTGCGTTGCTGTGAATGCTCCAGCAGCCCCAGGCCAGCACTGCAGGGCCAATGACTCCAAAAGGAAGACGAAAAAGAAGCCCAGGGAGATGATGAGCTCTCCATAGGGATATTCCACCTAGGGACAGAAAGAGGGGCTATGAGATGGGAAAGCGGGGGAGGAAGGTACACTGTACACATGTGAGATTGGGAGACTGTAGAGAATGTTAGCTGTGCTACTAGAATATAAAAAATGGTCACGGAACGGAGTCAAGAGTACGTAAGGACATGCAACAATAAGAATCCCAGAGGGATTAAGGGACACAGTAGCAGTAAGGTTAGAAATATGGGAAAATGATGTAAGCAAATGGTCGGGAGAAAGAATGAAAGAGAAAAGCAACAGCTTTTTCTGGGGTCCATAAACCCAGAAGGTGTGGTTGACTCCCTCCTTCCCTCTACAGTGTCTGAGCTGGGGAGCAGAAGGATTTCTGTTATTCCTCACACACTCCCCTCCAAATGGTCTGGGTGTGAAAGGGGTCTCTGGTTCTCCTCACCCTCCAGGTGGGGGCTGGTGGGACATACTTACACGAGCTGAGTCAGTACTATCAGAAGCTTTTCCCTCACTTTCTGTCCTGTTCTAGGAAGAAAAAAGCAGAAGTTAGATGGGATGGAGCAGCTGAGCTTCCCGTCCTGCCCCTCAGCTCCACTCTTTCCTAAGAGCCCAGCCTGAGCTGCTGTCATCGTTCTACACAGGAGCTGTCATTTTCCCAGGGTTCTACCGTGTCCTTGGCCCCATCACTTTCCCTCCTTTCTTTTCTTAGTTCTATTCATCCTCTGGCCTCACATCTCTGCTGCTCACCTGAATCATGAACTTCTGAATCTTGTTTTCAATGCTCTCCAGGGCTTCAGCGGTCATATGCATGAACCCTGCCCCCAGGAAAACCCCGGCAGAAATGCAGCCTAGGAGGCTGAGGACCAAGCGATGACGACCTAGTCAAACACACAAGTTACACTCCGGTTGCCAATGAGGAGGCAAAGGTGACTAGAGAGCAACAGGCAGCACCCAACCAACATCCCATGCTTGGGGACGGTGTGACAATCAGAGCAAGGTATCAGGACAGGGTGCTGCGCTGAAGTCAGAATTTGTTTAGGGGGACAAAGATGCAAAAGGGCTGTACCTGATGTGGCTGCATTAATCTGGAACCATCTGAAGCGGATGGGAATAAGGCCACAGACCAGAGTAAGAGCGAGCAGGGCAAACAGGCAGCCAATTTTTACTCCTAGTAGTGGCTCCATCCTTGGGCTACAGGAAAAGCAGAGGCCTCAGAACGACAAATGGGAATTACAATCTTTGGAGCAGAATGGTGTCTTCTTAGGTGGTGAAAGCTGATGTGTCCACCTACCTGTTTTAGGAGGCTGTTGGGATCCTCCTGTTCTGTGTGGCCTCTGCCTGCGTTGCCTTGCATAGCTGACTGCAGCCCTGCCCCAGTTTCCCACCTTCCCCCTCCACGGAGGCCCCTCCCCTCGCTCACGCCTTTCTGAATTTAGAAACCGGAAACTCCAGACTCCCTGCCAGGTCCAGTCCCGTGTTCTATGTCTTCTTCTCTTCATTGCCATGACTAATCCAATAATCCAAAGGCCGGGGACAGTCTGAGTTCCTGCAAATGGCTGGTCCAATCCCAAATGGGTCTATGGTAGCCACTAGCTAGCTGCTTTGTGTGGGGGACAATCTGGTCCTGTTTCATTCGGGACACTTGATCTAAGCCTTCCATACCCTCTCCACCTCACCCTGTCTTATATGTTGCCATCATGATACCTGAACCTGCACCTTTTCAGAGGGGATTTGGGGCCACCTGGGGGTAAGGACAAGGCGGGGCTGGGAAGTGGTGCTGCCTCCACTTTGTGGTAACTAGTAGATGAGGGGACTCTTCTTTCCTGTTACTCCAGAAAAATAGCCCCAGGTATGGAAGTGTCTAGTGGAGAGTTGAGATTTTGAGATAGGTAGAGAAAAAATGGAGACCAGTCCCACCCCACAGACCTAAGTCCTGACAAAGTGCCTTGTGACTCAGACCACTGGCTCCATAAGGCTCCCCAATACGTCCTTTTTCATGTCAACCTATTGTTTCAACAGGTTTTATAGCCACCACATAGTCAGCGTAGAGATCCCTTGCAGAGGCAATCACTGGACCAGGACACAACTTGTGACACATGCGATTAAGGAAAATTTGGTGTCCAATAGTTGCTTTTCCCTCATTGTAATAGATTTCCCTCTGTGGGTTATTTATATGCTAATGATACATAAGATGACATTGCAACATACATATATTCATGTAATCCAATTGCAATGTGCTAATTGAAACCCTCTTATTTATGCTAGATGACCTTGAAACATATGAATAAACATTTTTGCTCTTCCTATAGGAGCCACCCTCATCTTCTCAGTGGTCTCTCCTGAGCAGCCCACCTTGTTCTATCAAGGTGTCTGTGTCCACACTTCTCTAATAAACTGCACTGCTTCCTTGCACTCCTGTCTCAGTGTTAAATTTTTTTAATACTCCAAGGCAAGGAAGGTCTGAGGATGCTGTTCTACTGTCTGCCAAAAGCAATTTCTAGTATTACAACACTGATACAGTTACAACTTTTGACTGTGATTGTTTCCTAATAATGTATACAGATCTCCCTCAATTTACAATAGAGGCATCCTGATAATCCCATTGTTATGTTGAAAGGAGTAAAAAATGCATTCAATACACCTAACCTATGCAACATCATAGCTTAGCCTGGCATACATTAAAAGTGCACAGAACATTACTTCAGCCTATGGGGAAAAAATCATCTAACACAAAGCCTATTTTAATGAAGTATTGGATATCTCATGTAATTTATTGAATACAGTACTGAAAGTGAAAAATCCGACGGTTTTACGGGTGCAGAGTGGTTTAAGTGTATCAGTAGTTTACACTGGGTATGGCATGGCTGCCTGTGAGCTGCAGCTTGCTGTTGCTGCCCAACACCAGTGACAGCATATGGTACAGTATGTCACTAGCCTGCGTAAAGAAAAAATTCAAAATTTGAAGGACATTAGCATACTGAACACATATTACTTTCATACCACCGTAAGTCAAAAAATCCTAAGCAAACCATTTTAAGTTAGGGCATGTCTGTATTGTGGGAGAGGGCTGAGTTTTAAAACAAGGAAAGCTGCTCTAGCTGTGAAACAGCAAGGCTCAGGGGAAAGCTGAGAACTGACCCAGGAAAACTGAAGGATCCTGCCTGCATATACGGGGCTGGAGATGGGAGATTCAGTCCTGATGGGGATCAGCTCTCATGGGAAATGTATGAAACTTTGGGAGGCCTGATGAACCCTGAGAAAGACGGAAAGGAGAGAGAAAAAATAGAGGCTAGGCAGCTGCTGTTTCCCCTATGCAGGTGGCCCGCCCAACAACCCTGAGACCTGCTAAGCCAGTTCTCAGAGAGCTGGGGGTGGCTTTCCCCACCATTCCAAATTACTTCCCTGGGAAGCCCTGGTCTCTGGTAGAAGCAGCAGTATTCTTACAGGAGAGGGTGAGCTGGAGGTTTGTGGGGGAAGACAGGCACTGAAAATCTGAGAATTCTCTGTTACAGGCTAAGCCATGACAACTGACCTCCACACCTTTTAAGAATCACAAGATCCATTTCTATTCTTTGAAAACGCTTTATTATTATTAAAACCTCAAACAAATATATATAGGGACATGAGCACTCCCATCCTGGATACCAGGTAGCTTCAGCCTTGGTAGGCTAGAAAATACTCAAAGAAAATACTTGTCACACACCCTTGTCAGCTCTCAGGGGGATCTCTAGTGGGGGACGGAGGAAGCTCAGATGGTGTGACCACAGGTAAGATATCTCCCCAGGAGCTGACACGGGCACAGCGATACAAGTCCCTGTGGAACAGAGAGGTCCATGTGGGCTGCAGGTTCCTGCCGTCTCCCACTGATTTTGGTCACACCCTCCGTACCTGCCGTGCTGGTGGGCTGTGATCACAGCATGCTGCCTATGCCCATCTGGACAACACAGGTGACAGTGCACATGGCGTGGTCTCTTAAGGACAGGCTGAGTGATTCGGGGCCAGCGATTAGCCTCAGCTGGAAACCCCCGGGCAAGGATCACCATCGAGAACTTTTCCTTCTTTGGCTTCTTGTTCTGAGATAGAAATATAAAGACTGTTTGGAGGAAAAAAGAGATGGGAAAAGACTTTTTGACCCCCATTTCTACAGCCCTTTTCATCTTCTGTAAATGAGGCACATTTGGACCCTAAAATCTCCAGGTTACTCTCTGAATTTTTCTAGCTCCTCCCGTCTCTGATTCTTTTTCATCTTGCTTTCCTAGGCTATTTTTGCCCTGCTGCAATATTCCCAGGGTACATACCCAGTTGAAGGGGATGGGATGGTAAGCCTGGGAAAAGCTGCAGGCCAGGGGCTTAGAGGCTGTCAACTGGGGACAGGGAAGCTCATGGGGACACTGTGAACACACATAAAAGACATGATGTAAGACAAAAGAACCACAGATCAAAACTGAAAAACTCAAAGTGATATGGGCTGGGGGTAAGGAAGCCTGGGAGCAGAAGGTAGGGAGAGCCAGGGGACCACAAAGAAAGAAACTGGAGGGGAACACAAAGTAGTGGCGGATGGGTTAGTTTTACCCTCTCACTTTTGCTGGCCACAGCTGAGTTCGGATCTTTGCATGATAATACTCACTGGGGCAAAGACAAAACCAGGTCGAGGGTCCAAAGGTGACTTCTCTTTTCCCTGAAATCACAAAAATTAAACTGGGCCTAAGGGGCCTATTTTTATAACCCAATCTCTGCACTCAGTAAATTGAGGACCAATTTTACATTCAGTTCTGGTAATTATTAACTATGTTCTTTGAGGTAAGCTGGCTGTTTCTCTAATACTCCAAACAAAGAGCTTTCCCTTTGTGGCAGGAGAAAGGCAGGAACTTGGCACATAGTATAGTGTGCTCCCTTGTCTGAAACCTCTACTCTCAAAAATATTCCACTCGAAGACAATTAAAGTTATGATTATACACTTGCTGATACTGCCCCAATGAGGGAATATGGTTTGTGGTCAGCAGTGCCGCAGATCAGGAGTCAGCAAACTTATTTTTCAGGAAGAGTCATGAGGTCCATATCATTTAAATCAGCAAACTTATTTTTTTAAAGGCCCAGAGAGTAGACAAAATCTCCTTTTTATCCCAACTATGGAACTCTGCAGTTTATAGTGGGACAGCAGCCACAGACGACAGACAAATAACCGTGGCTCATACAAACACAGGTGACAGGCCAGATTTCATTCACAGGCACGAGTCTGCCAACTACTACTATGTGTATCGGAACAACTTTATATGCCTAATATCCAGAGGATCACCCTTACCATTGTATGACAGAGTCTTTTCAGTTCTTGGGAGTACCAGTTACTTGGTGACAGGTAGGGTGGGGTGAAAGGGGAAAGAACCTTACCTTAAGGACCAGGTCCCTGGCATCCATGAGAAGGCAGTGCCCTGCTTTTGTTCCATTCTCTACCAATATCTGTTCATAAAAATGGAAAATAAGCAGAAGCCCTGAGTTACATGAAAATATAAATGTCAGAACAAGCATTCACAGGTGGATTGGGGGTCCTAAAGGAAATGGGAACTATACATAAGAAGGATGGAGAGCCTAAGAGAGGGACAAAGGGAAGCAGGTGAGAGAAAAATGGTCAAGAGTAAAGACAACTCCAATGGAAAGAAGGAAAGGCATGAAAACCAAGGCAGCTGCTTTAAAACCAGGAGGGAAAAAGGGATTTCAACTCACCAGAAAATGACTTGTCTTGCGCCACAAGGTTTGGACCACCTCAGTGCGCTCAGCCTTGCCGGGCAGTTCACTTAGGGAAAAGGCTGACACCACCATATCAAACTGTACCTGAAGAATCAAAACAGAATCATGACAGACCTGACAGCTCCCCCTTCCAAGTGTACAACAAAGTTCCACCCCTCTTAATTTCTTTTGCTTTCTTTTATCTTCTAACACAATGCTGGGTTACAAAAGCTGAGGCCACAGTTTTCCATCTGCCAAATTCCACACTTAGCATACTCTAAACATTGCCACTTGCCTTGGGTGATACAGGTAGAAACTGTCTGAAAAAGACACCTGGAACGTAAGGCTTGCCAGAGTCTGAACCACCTGTGGAGGAAAGTAGACATGTGGCAAATATGAGTATATAGGTATAAACAGAGGTGATAACCTGACAAAAACTTTGCCCCAAGAATAAAGAAAAATTCCAGGGGAGTGTGGGATACACTACAGATAAGTGAATATTTAAAAAGGCAGGTAGAATACTGGCTGATCTGTAGCAGTAACCAATCCAGCAAAGGTCTCTACCACCCTCCACTTGACCACAACATTGGAAGGAGAGCAGACTTATCTTTAACTTTTTGTCCCCTTTT